GTTTTTTACACTAACATTGAGAAATTTTAACCAAAGTATGTTATAGACTTTTAATTAAGACCCTAAAGAATCATATCAACTTGTGCAAAATGAGCATCCGATGACCCCTTTAAATATTGGACAAAATATTGTATATAAAAATAGTCATTGTATAACAGTTTTATTCTTCTTGCTATTACACCAGGGTTCATTTTTATGTCCTTTCCACATTTGTCTTCTCACTTTTACTGAAAATGACACTATCTTACTTTAATTTTAGACATGATGGAAAAGAATGAGGAGAGTGAAGCTGAGGAGAAACATCATGTCAAAACTGGTGAAAAATCGAAGAGTCGAAGAAGAGTCCAAAAGTCTTTAACCTGCCCTCAGTGTGGAAAGAGTTTCTCACACAAACAAATTCAAGTTCACATGAAAATCCACACTGGAGAGAAACCGCACACATGTGATCAATGTGGGAAGAGTTTCACACAAAAAACAGGCCTTAAGGAGCACATGAAAATCCACACTGGAGAGAAACCATATACAGGTGATCAGTGTGGGAAAAGTTTCAGTAAGGCGAACACCTTTAAATTACATCTGCGTTATCATTCTAGAAAAAGACCATATAACTGTGATCAGTGTGGTAAAGATTTTTTTAGGACAGATGCCCTGAAGAACCACCTGAAAGTTCATACAAAGGAGAAGCCTCACATGTGTTCTTTGTGTGGAAAGAGATTTACTGAGCTGGCTGCTTTAAAAAAACAGCAGAAAAGACACAGCGGTGTGAAGAATCATATGTGCTTTGATTGTGGAAATACTTTTTTTGATAGTGCTCAACTGAGACGGCACCAGAGAACTCACACTGGAGAAAAACCTTACAAGTGTTCACACTGTGACAAGAGTTTCAGTCAGTCAGAACATCTGAAAACACACGAGAGGGTCCACACTGGAGAGAAGCCTTTCTCGTGTGATCAGTGTGGGAAGAGTTTTGCCCGAAAAGGACACCTTAAGGGTCACATGAAAATCCACACTGGAGAGAAGCCGTATCACTGCCCTCCGTGTGGGAAAAGTTTCGTTTCGTCGTCGTCTTTACTCAATCATACAAGAAACAAATGTCTAAAATCACAGTAAGCAGTTCATCTTCAGATCCAGCACTTTCAAGTGCAACAGTGTTCTCACTAAATGTGACACGATGCAACAAACAATCTCTTGAATAAATCTGCCTTAAACAGCTGTTATGAGTGATACAGTGAATAAAGTTCATCTTTAAGACTAGCAGATTCAGGTATGAGATTCAGATCAACTGAATCTTTGGGATTCCTCCCAAAAGAACAAAATCTAAAAAGTTTTATTCTTACATAGAATTTTGTTCTAGATCTAATTATGCTATGATTTTTGTATTGTTAAATTTAATCAATTGTATTCTTATAATGCATATGCATCACTTCAAGTGCTTCAACCATCATCTTGTCAGGGTTGTTTAGTTCTGTAAGTTCATTGTGTTTTAGTTGGGTTTTGTTCTGTTCCTGTTTGCAGTTCCATGCTCGTCGCCAAGATTCCTACTTCGCGCAACGCAAACCGGACTTTGAGTTCTTGAACGCTGGCGCTTTGTTTACAGACACCGCATCAGAGCCCTTTGTCTGGGCAGCACAGTCACGACCGAGGAAACGCCGCCGGAAAAGGGGGAAGAGAGCCGGCGTCCTTGTCAGACTCAGACATCTTCCCCTCCGACCTCCTCTCCCAACCATTTTGCTGGCTAACGTCCAGTCACTGGACAACAAACTCTGTGAACTGCGGGCATGCATCTCATACCAACGAGAAACAAGGGACTGCTGCATTATTTGCCTCACAGAAACCTGGGTGTCTGCAGAGGTTCCAGACTCAGCCATCGAACTTACGGGGTTCTCCGTGCACTGCTCGGACAGAACAAAAGAGCTCACAGGGAAAAGCAGAGGTGGGGGCGTTTGTTTCTTTATCAACAGCTCGTGGTGTGATGAGAGGAACCTACACTCTATTAAATCCTTCTGCTCCCCTAATCTGGAATTTCATATGCTTCTGTGTCGACCATTCTGTCTACCGAGGGAATTTACAGCGATCATAATCACAGCTGTTTACATTCCCCCTCAAGCCAAAACAGACCAGGCACTCAAGGAACTGTATGGGAATATAAGTGAGCAGGAAACCGCGTACCCAGATACAGCGTTTATTGTTACGGGGGACTTTAACTAAGCCAACTTCAGAACAATAACTCCAAAATATTTTAAACACATCACCATCAACACACGTGGTGATCGTGCACTGGACCACTGCTACTCTCCTTTCCGGGACGCCTACAAATCCCTCCCCCGCCCACCTTTCGGCAAATCGGATCACTCTTCCATTCTGCTCCTGCCTGCTTATAGGCAGAAACTGAAACGGGAAGCACCCGCCCTCAGGACAATTCAATGCTGGTCGGACCAATCAGATGCTATACTACAGGACAGTTTTGATCACATGGACTGGGATATGTTCCGGGCAGCGTCTGATGACGACATAGAGGCATACTCAGATACTGTAACGTGTTTCATCAAGAAGTGCGTAGAAGATGTAGTGCCGACAAAATCAATCCGCATCTGCCCCAACCAAAAACCGTGGATTAATAGCGATGTTCGAGCAGCCTTGTCAGCGCGCACATCTGCTTTTAAATCCGGAAACGCTGACGATCACAAACAAGCCAGATACGATCTCAGGAAATCCATCAAAGCCGCAAAATGGGCAACAATACTTCACCCTCCTTTGACCCTCAACACTGGTGCTCCTCAGGGCTGCGTCCTCAGCCCACTCCTGTACTCCCTGTACACACATGACTGTGCAGCCACACACAGCTCCAACGTAATCGTCAAATTCGCTGACGACACAACGGTGATAGGCCTGATCACCGACAACGATGAGACGGCCTACAGAGAGGAGGTGAGCACCCTGACTAAATGGTGTCAGGAGAATCATCTCTCACTCAACATCGACAAGACCAAGGAGCTGGTGGTGGATTTCAGGAGACAGAGCAGAGAACACACACCCATCACCATCGACAAGATACCTGTGGAGCGGGTAAACAGCTTTAAGTTCCTCTGCGTTCACATCAATGAGGATCTCACATGGTCTACACACACTGACACACTTCTTCCTGAGATGGCTGAGGAAGTTTGGCATGAGCCCCAGCATCCTCAGAACATTCTACACCTGCACTGTGGAGAGCATCCTGACTGGCTGCATCACTGCCTGGTTTGGAAACAGCACTGCGGGCAACCGCAAAGCTCTGCAAAGGGTCGCGCGAACTGCCCACCACATTGTTGGAGGTGAGCTTCCCTCCCTCCAGGACATCTACACCAGGCGGTGTATAAGGAAAGCCCGGAGGATCATCAGTGACTCCAGCCACCCATTCCACAGACTGCTCTCTCTGTTGCCCTCAGGAAGACCTCTCCGCAGCATCCGATCCCGCACTAGCCGACTGAGGGATAGCTTTTTCCCTCAGGCTATCAGACTAATGAACAATCAGAACTAATACACCCTACAACCTACTCCCACAATACGGTAGGCCACACACTGCACTTTAACTCCAACAGTTCAATACTGGACTATACATACACACTGCATTTAAACACAATAATCTATCTGCTACCACTGGATACCATCCAATGCACATCCATGACATTTTGCGTATCCAGTTAATGTATAATCTGTTGCACCTTCGCATATTTTGTGTATATATGTCTACATAATGTAGAATGTGTACATACTGTGTATAATGTGTATTGCTAACTGTAAGTATGTCTAATAGTACACTGTGTGTACTGACTATATGTATGTGCATATTGCACATTGTCATCTGTTGAGGTCTGTATGTTTATATGTAAATTGTTTCTGCACTGTCTGGAGCACGCTCCCAAGAATTTCACTCACCAAGGCACATGTGCTGTGGTGATGTGACAATAAAAGTGACTTGACTTGACTTGATTTGACTTGACAGTGTTGCCAACTGCTTTAATAACAAGCTACATTTGTCATGTTGCCTATGGTTGGACATACCATAAATTTCCAAAAATAAATACATTAATTAGAAAGTATATCTCTTTTTTTACTCCCCTCACTGTACGGCCGGTGTAGGGCTGAATTCTGGGTAATAATTTGGCAGGGAGTCGAAAATGGGCACAACACCGGCCTAGGCGGCTGACTAGTTTACCTATAGGCACGCACCAACCCTGCTGCTGAAGGCCATCTCATTTTGAAGATCCTTGGAAGACAGCCTTAGTTTTGTGTCCTTCATTCACGTCCTCCACGTCCTATAGGTATGGTTAAGGCTGATTGGCCTTTCACCAATGAGAAACATTTCGGCATGCCCATTTCTCCGAGATGCATGCAGTAGCTCTAAAACTAGAACGAAAAAGTAGTTAACGCTATAGTATTCCCTGCACATTATAGAAAAATGTGAGTCAGATCACTGCAGTTACTGTGGAGTAACAGAAAAAGTAGAACATTTATTATTACACTGTGAAGCATATAGAAGAGAAAGAAACCAGCTTGATAAAAAAAACTAAGAGATATGGAAATCAGTGTCATTTCAGATAAAACTATGTTTCAGAATGCACAGAAACAGTTAAAGGTGTATGATTTCCTTCTAAAATATTTGAGAGATACAGGTTTAATGAACAGGATATATATATATATATCTATATCTATAGATATATATACAGGGATGTAGGCCTACTGGCCATCGGGAGTACCGTTGTTACAAGATTTTCGGTTTCCAAGATTTTCGGTTTCAGTGGGCGGAGCATACATGAATATTCATGAGTTTCCCGGACATGCGCGTGGAACCAGGTGGAACTGAGAATTTCAGTTTACGCTCCTTGTATCTCAGCAGGTTTAATGGGATATTTAAAAAAAAAGGTAAATATATTTCCAGCGTTGCACAAACTACATTTGTTTATCATTTCGTAACCGTTTATAATGTTTTTATTAGTTTACAATGCACGTTTTGTGCAGTCGTCCCTGACTGAATGATTGCAGGCATTCTTTGTGTAATGTTAGGATAAAACACAGCAAATTTCAGCTAGTTGTATACATTGATTTCGGTTCTTTGTGCTCTTCATTTGCAGCTTGTGATGCTTTAAAACTGTTATTAGTTGTTATCATTTGTTGAATATATCACTGCCTGCAACAAATGAAATAAACCTATAGACACATATCTGTAGACATTTTCTTTTTTTTTGTATAGGCCTACTGGTGTGATGATCCATATCTTAAAGGGGTCATATAATGCTACATGCACTTTTTTGTTTCACCACCGGAGAAGATGTAGACAAGAATGACTCCTAAGTGATTGAGGTGTTCTGTTGTTGGATGTAATAATGAACATAGCAGTCGTCATTTACTCCCGACATCTGATCCACTTGAAGACGCAGTGGATTATGTTCGTTTTTGAAGGGAATGCGCCCCCGATCTACATTAATGCGTCTATGTTCGCGCAAATCATTCGTGATCCAGCTTCAACTACAGAAGAAGTGAGTATAAGGTTTTTTTAACAAATCTTTGCAAATCGCCTTTCCTGATAATGTGCTAATTAGCAAGTTTCACGACCCACGCTTGAGTCAGGAACAACTGCAGCACAGATGTTGGAAACCTTCAGCTTGATGTTTTCATCAGATTGCTCAGGGATTCCGTACAGACAAAGATTCCATCTGTGCTGATATCGTTCTGTTTCATTCAGTTTTTGCTCAAGCTCAGAGATCTTGGTATTATTCAGATTCACAGTGGATTTACAGTTTTTAAAGTCAATCGATTTCTTGAGACCCTCGATACTCCCTGTGTTTTTGGTTATCATTTTACCGAGATTGTCTGCACTCTCCTTGATTTTAGATGTCAAAGCCACAATTATGTTATCTTGCAATTCTGTCAGCGAAATGTCCCCTCGAGATTTCTTTTGCTAAGGTTTCACAGGCATATACGCTGACTCGAGGACTGGACTCTCACTCCGAGAGAGATCGGGACATTGTTGGCTGCATTCATGGTCAGTTATGAAATGTGAGGCATATTCAACTCCAGCACTGACAGTAATGCCAAGTTTCATTTCTTCCGTAAGGACATTAGAAGTAGAGCACTTATTTTCCCCTTTGCGCTTCATCATGCAGTCCACAGCATATGTGCAAGAAGACTTAACGGCCATCATGTCGCACTTGGTAAAATCAGGTTCTGCATATCATACATGTTGTATACTCTTTGTTTCTGCCGTCAGCACTTTGTATGTTGTTTCTCAGCATATTGCGTTAAGTATGTAAACTTAATTATATAAATGTATTGCAATGTCCCCACACACCCCTAAACTTTTCACACAGCATTTACTTGTTTTGTTGTTGTTGTTGTTGCTGTTCACATACACTATCATATAAACAGCCACTCAAATAACTTTATTATTATTATTTTATTTATTTTTTTTTTTTAATAAATTGTTCTTGCTATCATCTGATAATTTTAATGAGGTGCTGGGCAAAATATGGGATGGAGACTGCGTACTGTTTGTATTAAATTAAATTTCAAACTATTTTATTGGCATTATTGTTTTTTACTATCCTTTAAACTTTTTTTTAAATGGTCAAAGAAACAGTACAAACAGTACAGGAACATGCACAAATGTAATGCATGAAAATAAATAAAAACAATGATAGAGGAAAAAGCAAAGTTTCATAGAATGATAAACCTCACATTTCAGCTTTTAAAGCGTTGAGTAAGACGCGCATGCGCAGTAAAGCGAGTTACAGCGCTTGCGTTTTAAGACATGCGTTACGTCAAAATACCTGACGCTCCTTGGGAGGCGGTTTGGCAACAGCTGATCTGTGACTGGAGAGTGCATGGTAGGAAGTGGCGTAGATTCCGGAAGTGATCCGGAAATGGAGGATGAAGTGTTTGACGCGGATGAAGGCGGGAATGGAAATAATGAATGGAGTATAGTAGAAAATCGAAAAAGAAAGAAAAGCTGGAGTAACGCATCTGCAACTGACAGTGAAAATGGAACACATCTGACAAGAAGAAGGAAGGAAGAGTATAAGGTAGTGATGAAACTTGAAACCGGATCTTTCAGTATCATTAATCCGCTGAAATTATCTAAAACAATTAAGGAAGTGATAGGACTGATTGAAAGTGTTAAGAAGTTGAGGGATGGTAGATTGATAATATATTGTAAGGATAGTAGGCAACAAAAGAAGGCTCTAGGAGTTAAATCGATCATGGGACAAAGTGTGATTTGTTCAGTACAAGAAGAAAAGAAATGGGTGAAAGGAGTAATTGTATTTCTTTCTTCCAAATTTATGCACACTCGATCAGTAGGATCAGTAGGTGGCGGTAATGCACCTCTTTCGCTGGTTTGCCAAACCGCCATAAAACACCAGAAGAAGAAGAAGAAGAAAATACCTGACGTCACCGCGCTACAGTCTGAGCGAGGACACTCGCCAACCGCTATTAAACATAAAAAAAGTTACCGCTAGAGCCATAACACAGCTTTGAGTCTTCTGAGGTGAGATAGTTTGTCTATTTATACAATTATAAAGATACAGCTTGTTAATGCAACATTTACAGTGTCTTTTCTGTATTGTTTTCATCTGGTACAGCATTATTTGTGCGTCTTTTCTGGCATCTGCTAACTGACATAAACATTTAGCCTAGCAGCAGGGTTGCCAACCATTCTGAATTATCACGGAATTGTCCCGTATTTAAGACACAATTTTGTCCTGTATACGCAGGCATACGCCGTATGACCACCCAAACAATAAGAATAACAAACTCAGAATTGAAAATAATTTATTTTTGGTCACATCATTGTTTGGTTTTTGAACGTTTCAGGTCTTGACGCTACCTTTTTCCTCAAGGAGCACATGTGCTCCTAAGTTGAAATATTTAGGAGCGCATTAAAAAATTTTTTAGGGGAGCAATGCTTTTTTTTTAATTATGTGTTTTAGCTTAATAAGGGGATATAAGGAGACATTTACAAGCACAATTCTTTTATTTATCAGAACACAGGAAGTAGCCTACACAATGTTTTTAAATACTTTTGCTTCAGACTCTTTTTAATAGGCATATTATGTAATTATTTATAGTCTTATTAAACTGTATGTACATTAGGTAACAACAATAGTTGTTGATCTTTTACTAAAGAAAGACTTTATTTATAAAATACACAAAAATATAAAGTAAACAATAGTAAACAAAAGATTAAGTTCAAATGAACGAAAGAACCGTTGGTAACACTTTGCAATATGGCCCCATTTGTTAACAATAGTTAAAGCAGGTTAACATTAACTAACAATGTGCAATAGCTAATTGTTGCAGTAGTTAATATTCTTTGTTAATGTTGATTAATAAAAATACAACTATTTATTGTTAGTAAATATTAGCTCCATTGAATAATATTAGCAGACACAACTTTTGATTTTATAATGTATTATTAAAAGTTGAAATTACATGAACTAAGATTAATAAATACAGTCATTGTTATTTCATGTTAACTAATGTAGTTAAACTAATGTTAATGGAACCTGTTAAGTGTTACCAAACAATAATACAAATCAGTCAATGTATAGATAGGCCATGTTTTAGGTTAGATTAAAAGAAAAAAAAATTTTAAGTGTGTAAATAAATAGTTATTAAGTGTTTAAGTATTAATATAGTGCTATGGTGAAGACTAAAGCGAATATAAATATCTAAATGGCTGTTTGAAACATCGACACACCCTGCATCCCAATGTGCATACTGTCCACCCTATCTGACCTAAATAGTATTACCATAGTATTACCTAGTATGACCTAAATTACTAATATCACATAGAATTTAGGATGGATATTATGCACATTGGGACGCAGGCACAGTTCAGAAAGTAGCACAGCTGCTTTGTTTACAGGGTCACATGTATGGTAACGGCAGCATGTAAAATAACCTTGTAATTCGAGCAATTAAAGAAAAAATACCCATGTATGAGTTTTTATGTTTTTATATTAATTTGCACAGGCAATGTACTTTCCTGACTATCAGTAGGCCTACATGCGCGAGCACAAATGTGCTATTAATTTTATACAACAGTGCATAGTAACATGGTGTTTCGTTCCTTGAATGAATCAAGTTTTTGAACGAATCAAGTGAGCCAGTGATTCAACGGCCCATTCAGATGGACACTTTTCCTGCGTCCCAATGTGCATACTATCCAGCCTATCTGCCCTAAAAAGTACTGAAAATTACTAATATCACATAGAATTTAGGATGGATATTATGCACATTGGGACGCAGGCACAGTTCAGAAAGTAGCACAGCTGCTTTGTTTACAGGGTCACATGTATGGTAACGGCAGTGTGTGTTTTCATTGAGCGCATCTCCTTCTCTCGCGCCGCCTTTCTTCTCATCTGTGCTCATTTAAATTAAATCGTTAGGGGTGTTCGATTCCAGGTTTTTCGGAGACGACTCCCAACTCCCACCATAGGAGTCGATGGAATCTCTATTCCATAATCTATTGGTTCTCGTACCAATTTCGGTACCAAAGCAAAACACAAAAACATGCTAATTGAACAACATTTTTATTAATAACGTTAAAC